AGCAAGCCTTTTCAACTTCACTCTGCAAATAATAACTACTGAAGTCCACATCCACATACCTCTGTCTATACTATGCTAAAAATACGCAACTTCTTCCATATCCTGAATAGCAGGAACTAAATTTCTTGCTTATTCGTAATATCTTCTGCCAGTGAGGGCTTGGAAATGTGAGGAACACTTGTCCGGTAAGTTGATACTCCTGTACTGCCTTCCTCAGGCCAATGATATCTTTTCGCGACCAAGACCTCACAAGTGTTCCAATTCTCGAAGTCCGTATGGCTGGACGTTGATTATAGTTCAGGATTCGCACCTTAAATGAACTGCCAAAAACGCTTAAACGTAAAAGGTAACCAAGAGAAGTAATGCAGGCTACTGCGTTGACCTGAAAAACCCCTACGTCTCGGTAGCCACAGGCCGCGTTTTATCAATGAATCCGGAACGCTATCGAGAGCTTATTGACTAACCGTAATGCAAGAACGCCATTCAGAGACGCACTCACTGATGGCTGCATCACAGAGGCGGTAAAGATCAAGGCATGCGTCATTTGAATACAAAGGACCCAAAGATCTACCGAATTTATTGCTGAATGGAACAACGGTGATCAATTATTCCTCCGAAAGGCTTTGGAAAATCGAACTCAGACCGGTAGCGTGAGGCTGAGAAGAAACAGCTTACCCTTCGCATTAAACAGTGATACTGTATCACCTCATTCTGCAATTCGACCCCTACAGATCGAAAAAAAGAACAATAAAAATAACACATGTTTACAGACCAACAACCTGAAGATGAGAAAGCAAAAACGAACTGCCTATGCAATTGCTTAATGAAACGTCAACTCACTCATCGAAAAAACGAACGACGCGAAAGCATTTAACAACAAATACAGAAAGGCTAGTAAAGGGATGTGGAGTGGTTCGAAATTTTCGCCGAAAGAAATCATCTTCTTGTTATGAACACTGTATCTCATAAAGATTCAAAGCGACAGCAGAAATGGAGAAACCCAGACGGAAAGTCTTTGAACCAAACTGACTATGTACTGACTGACAGGAATGAGGAATATCAGGCCTGTGGGTCATAGGTGAGAACATCATCAGTACAGGGTCCTACCGCAGACCCTCCTTTTCCACAGTTATGATCGAGGTTGCAAAAGTGCAGCAGATCATAATAGCCTCAAGATCACCGTTTGGAAGAAAACTACAATTCTATCAGGGTGCTGTCACCGAAAGACTGCCATTAAGGAACCTTGAGATGAACAACTCTGAGGGAGCATATGTGAATTATGACCATTTTGTCAATGCATCAAGACTGCCTTTAGAACATGAAACAGGACAGCAAAGTCGATGATGAACTGACACAACAACCCTGTAACAAGGCAGATAATGGCTAGAATATAAAAACTGAAAACCGACGAGAAAACGTAGGTGCAGAAAGACACGGTAGAACTTGAGGGAAGACAACGAAACGAACAGGAGAATTCCAACGAAGGAGGAGCAAGAAATACTCATCGCATAAGACCCGATGGAGCTTCAGCAGAAGATCCAGCAATTGTTCGAATCTCTCACCATCGGCTTGAAGATTAATCTCTGCATTATGAAACAGATGTAAAATGGGTGCAGAGACGTGAATGGTGAAGAACTCGAAGAAATCACCAGCTAGGCATGCCTTGGCGTCAGATGGACCACATGAGCTCACTAGACGAGGAAATCTGCAAAAAACGATAGGCGGCATGTGCCAGCTTTAGTCACATTAGAACAACCTCACTCCACGGTGAGCTGTCCATGTAGGCGAAAAAAGTACTTCCTTCACAATCCTTCACTCCGTTCTGAATTCACTCACGTGGAAAACATCAACAGTGAGGTCAAGATGCAACCTAGATAAGGCAGCCCTTAGTTTAGAGAGAAAAGTTTCCTTCTGAGGTTCTGATAGACTAAGGTTCTGAAAAACGGAGAATGCGGCGGACAGTGCAATGCTGGGAAGTTCTTTTGAAAGATACCTTTTAACGGTTTCAAAACAGCAGGCTTAATGAACAGTAAATAGTAAAACAAATTACGCTATAATTAAAAGGAGGTGGCTGTCGTATTAAATCTGCAACATAAGTACTGCTATGTGAAGGCCTGAAGGTAGCAGACAATCATATTTTTCCTGAACCAAAACCTCGCAAAATGCTCAACTTCTCCCAATATGTGAAACTGGATGATGCTTCAGAAAATTTTACTAATAACTCCCTAGAACTGGCATTCCTTGCGGATTGCCGAAGAGCTGCTCACCACTAAAATGTTCTCATGAGTAAGGAATTCGGAAAATAGATGCGAGTTAAAGTGTCTGCTTGAAGAGCACCTGCTTCTATGTAAACAATGAGACGTGACTGATAAACGGACGCGGATCGTCATTATGATTATCCTGGCCGACCATAATGCGAGAACGCAATCGATGTCCACATAATGGAAACAGAAAAGAGTAAGGCGAACATATTTGGAATATGCGAAACCCGAGGAACTGCCGAGTGTAATACACAACGGATCAATGGAGATCAAGTATACATCGGAAAGACGTTCAAGGAGCGAGTTCAGACCGGCGGCGCTGGCTTTTTAATAAAAACGGCATATTCCATAAAATATGAATCACCACTGAGGCTCATAATCGGCTCAAAGACAATGGGTAATGAGCTAAAATGACAGAAATCTGAAGATTAAATTAATTGCCCATGAAACTTCTGAAACATCAGCATAGTCTTCCCTCATTAGCGTGAAATATAAGCTTTGTTTTTTGCTTTAAGGCAAAAGTGACACCATTTGTAATCAAGGTAAACGTTCCGAATGACTGCAGATCGCAATGATTATTGAAAACAGCTAATCTATGCTCAATTCTATGGTTATAGGCCTGTTTTGTTCAAATGTTTTAGCCTATATTAATGATCTTCTGGGTCATTACGCCATAGATACCATATTCAGGATGGTATACAATTAATCTGCATCATCGTTCATTTCCACTTTCTATCTTAAACCTTCATCCTGCTTAAATCGCTAATTCTTCTTCATGTTGCTCGAGTACTTGTGTTCTTTGCTGAGGCAAGGGAATGCAGGAGAGGAATTGATTGAGTAAATAAGTGTGCTAACTATATGTCATCCGTTAGCGTTGAAGTTTAAAGCAAGACTCCAATTTCATGACTTCCCCAATAGGCAACCCTCCACATTCTTGTGGAGAAGAGACAGGAATGTAGAATAAGCAAGACCACTGACTTTAGTCATATTTTGATTATCCGCAAAAACTGTCGAAATTGTCCTATGCGCAGTTCTGATTGATGTGCTTTTATCTACAAAAAAATCAAGATCTGTTACTCAATTTGTGACATGCCCTTTGATTACTTTTTGGTACATCGGCCACTGAAAGGAGAGCTAAGCATAGCATTCTTTAACAGTTATGCAAAGCAGCTAATTGCCTCATCTGTAAAGCTTTCCAGAAGGGAAACTCTTAAGTTTACGAGGGGTGGTACATATGGTTTAATCGATAACGTGCAATCTTCTAATACAACTGGCTATTATATCTGACCTCGTGCCAAATAAACCATTTTTGCACTAGCTTTGTTGACGAATTTGCTTCTGTAATGATATCAATTATTTTTCATAATAATATTATCTGTGGTTGGACTCAAGAAGCCTCTATCATCAGAAAATGGAGACTTTTGCATCGGTATAAACCGCAGAAACATCAGTGTGTAGATAAAATAGCAAAGTGTGCAGATCGTAGACATGACCAGCAAGTGTGTTCGCAGAAAATGACTGGATGCCCTTTGCAGAATGATCGAAGGCTCGGCAAAGCGCCGTGCATCAAATGGCCAAATTATTAGACCTTTTGTTCTAACCAGTTAGTAAGTCACGACTCGAGTGTACGCAAGACCGGTTAGTGGGTGTTGATTGGTTATTAAATCAGCTAGTTTGAATTCTAGAATGAGTATGAAATGATGATGACGTAATCAGGCGATAAACAAACGAGGGGCTATGGTCGACGTTTTGTCGAAAAAGTCAGCGAAGCGCCACCATATTAATTGGAAAGTAATTTGCCAATCAGGAGAAATGACGATGAATCTTCGTCAGACAACGACGACAGTTGAAATGCAGTCTCTCTTTCTGAATCTGGTCAAAAAACGAAATGTTTAAAACAAACAATAGTCAAGAGTGGTCTGTTTTGGTTTAAAAATTATACCCTTCCGGCTCTAGACTTCGGGCAAGTCAACAAGTCAACCATCGACACAACGAACACTTGAGCAATTAAACTTTACTTACCACGAGGTATTTGGCGCCGGCGTGGATGATTTTTGGATATGGTTTCTGAATTTCAGTCGCTTTCAGAACGTGCTGAATCTTCATGTCGCCGATGGTGCTGCCGGACGAGCCGTTCGTCAGAATACCTGATTTAAAGTTTGCCAACAGGTTCGAGCGATGAGGTATCGGGTCATGAGGACCGGCCTGAGGCACATGGTTGTTGCAGTAAATCTCCAGGTCTTCCATGCGGTTGCGGTTGTTGCAGTAGGTCCGTAGAGTCAACCGAGTGCCACAGATGTAGCACTTGAAACAGCCGTGATGAAAGTAGGTTCCATCCTTCAGCGGCCCGACCTTGTCCGTCGGATACACGGGACGGCGGCAACGAAAGCACAGCTCTTTTACCATTCTGTCGTCCGGTTCGTTTCGTTCAGCAGCTACACATTGTCATACATGGACCTGAAACAGAGCTGATCAAAAAAAATCAGAAAACTAATGAGGTACTTTCAAACTCCCTCACCTCTGACAGAAAACCGCTATTAATATTCTCTAGTTGTGCATCACTAGGTTATTTGGAATTGCTTCATATGCTTGCAAGATTAGCTGGACTGAATTAAAGCGTGTACTTGCGTTGCCATTTATTGTACCGCACGACAAAGACTACACAAATGTTGCCCTGTGCTGAAAGATAGAGACAGGTTGCGAAAAGATTTCTCAAAACCGTTGTTTGAAATTATGAGAGCACAGTGTCCATCTTACAGTCAGGTTTAATCGAATCATTCTCTTAAATAGATTTTCCATATACACATAAGAAGATCCGCCTTTGTAGCTACGAAGAACAAGATTTCACACACTTCATCGTGCTGAGCGATCGCATATTTTGATCCTCACACAGTCTCGGCCTCACATATGCTGAGAAGGATTTGAAACGAATAATGATACACCACAATCGCACAAAATACTGATGTTTCTAATAGTCTAAAAGTTCGGAATCTGGGTTACTCTGCTATTCAGACTGTTTACTTGGACTACTTTAAAAACAACAACAAAAGGTAAGTGCAAAATGTTCTGAGCTAACCGATCACTGTTAAGCAAGAAGTGATTGTACGCAAGGCTTAGTTCACAGTGGACTCATCTTCGATGCATGCAAATTACCGAGTATCAATGAAATGTGGAGATTAATATTTTTCTTTGAAACAAACGCTTCTTTATTGCTTCGATACTAGTTATGTAAAACGGCCTTGCAGCAATGCTACTACCCTTTGCGGGAAAGTCCGCATTTGCCAATAGGTCGTTTGATTCCATGGTCAGTAATAATACTTTCTGTAAAAATTCATTTCTTGTCTCTTGCGTGGCTGAACATGGAATGAGAAGATCCTTCAAGACTAGTCATTCAGGCATGATATCAGTAGACTCATAAGAGATAAGGAGATACTCATAAATGTTTGATATGATTTCTGATCAACCAGCAGCCAGCCTAAACCGTACTTAGGTTACTACAAGCAACTCTGTTCGACCTACTGTGGTGCTAAGATATCATGGATTCATGCTGCTGGTTCAGACCGACCCATCAAATGCCATAAACAAGGAGACAATGCCACTCTGCTACAGAGATCCATGAAAAGACAAAATATAGATATGTATGATACAACAGTAGAACTTCTCTCCTTAAAAATTGTGCTGATCGGATCTGCAGTCAGAAAGTCTTAGCATTGCCTGAAACGCTGCCTGGAGCTTGATTGGAAGTTGCGATTCAGTTCACTGAATTGCAGAGCCAGGTTACAGTGATCACTAACAACATA